TCCTTTATAAACGCACAGATGTGCGCCGACGCGAGTGATTCTCAATATATTGGCAAGAAATAAATTAAACTATTTTGATAAAAATATTAAGGGTCACTAGCATCCAATTAATTATGAGAAATATCAACATAAAATAATTATTCTAAATTAAGGAAAAAACGCGTAAATACCTAACATACTCCCACCCTAAAAGGCCGGATTAAGATTTGTCTTAACATACGTCCAATTTGTTGCAGTTAGTTTATCGTGAATATACGCCACCCTGTTGGCTACAAAAGTAGACCAACGTCTAGGGTCAGAATTTAACCATGCTAGAACAATTTGAGAGTCCGTATAAGCATGAATAGCAATAATTTTAAACTGATCTTGATAAACCGATTTAATCCAACCAAACACTTTGGTTAATAAAACAGCGCCACACAACTCCATGCGAGGGATTGTGATTTTTTTGGTAGGGGCAACTTTTGATTTACCACACACGAAAAACATTTTTGCAGAACCTGTGTCATCGATAATTCTAAAGTACGCGACAGCACTATAGCCGCGCTCACTAGCATCACTAATCGCATGTAACTCAACATGCGAATCCGGAGGAATTATATTTAAGCCAAAGTCTTAAAAGTTCATTAGGGGGAGTTTCATCCCAATCTAGGCGAAGTAACCATAATTTTTGAATCAAATATTTACAAAAAAAAAGTCACTGGTGAAAGAATACCTAACGGATCAAATATTCTGGCAAGTTCAGATAAAAGATTGCGTTTGGTACAAGGGCGATCGATAGGATTAACTTTATAAAAAAAATTATCATGTTTAGGATCCCACAGAAGACCTAAAATTTTGATTGTAGGGTGAATTTCATTCTCAAAAGAAAACGGATTACAAGACACTTGATCAGAAGGAAAAATGTCTAAAAGTTGCGGGTCGTTACTCGTCCATTTTCGGAGCTCAAAGCCACCCGTGCGTAAAAGAGAGATGAGTTCATCCCTCAAGAGTTGCGCATTTCTTAAATCGTCACCACCACTGCAAATATCATCAATATATGTGTCTCTTATTAAAATACGAGATGCTTGAGGATACTTATTTCGACAATCTGTAGCAAGTTGATGTAACGTGCGAATTGCCAGATATGGAGCGCAATTAAATCCAAAACAAACTGTTTTAATTCTAAAATCTGAAATGTCATCGTTTGGAGCAAAACGAAACAATAAGCGTTGATAATCTCTAAATTCCGGAGATACCAATACTTGACGGTACATTTGTTTAATGTCCGCGGTAAAACAAACTTTATGTAAACGAAAGTTAAGCAAAATAGTAGCGATATCAGTTTGTAATTTTGGACCAACAAATAAACAGTCGTTGAGCATTTTCTTGTTTGGCATTTGAGCCGAAGCGTTAAAAACAACTCTCACTTTGGTACTATGACTCTCTGGCCGAAGTACCGCATGATGAGGCAAATAAAAAGTGGCATTATTGTCTTTGGAAGGCTCAATAGCTTCCATATGGCCTAAATCTAAATATTCTCTCATTACATCACAATAATCTTTATATAAAGTAGGATTTTTTAGTAATCGACGTTCCATACTACGAAAACGTTGTAAAGCCAATTCGCGACTGTGAGGAAATAAGGGAGACGGTTCGCGGAACGGAAGCGGTACCACATATCTACCTGATTCGGTTCTAGAAAAATTATTAACAAAAATTTCTTCACAAATTGTATCTTCGGAAGAAAGCGACGTGAACTCTGGGACAGTTTCAATATCAAAAAAACCTTTCATAGAATTATCCAAATTTTCAATGTCAGACAATTTAGAAAAAAAGGAATTGAGGCGGGGAGGCGAGATATTATTTATTTTACCCAACAAAACATAACCAAAAACTGTTTGTAAAGCGCTGGGACCCCCGTTTTTCCCTTGAACGTGGGTAGAGAGTAAAATTTGAGGTAAAATATCAGCTCCCAATAAAATATCAATGTCCCCTGGACGGTAAAAAGTTGGATCTGTCAATTCTAAATTATCTAAATGTGGCCACAAATGATTATTTATAAAAGTTGAAGGTAATTGGTCACATATTTTCAGCAATACAAGAGTATCTACGCAAAATATAGGTTCCATTTTACCTACAGGTTTCATTAAAACGGTTACAGCCCCAGTGTTCATTAATCGAGTGGTATCCCCAATACCCTGAATTGTAGTTGAACATCGACTTAAATTTAAGTTCAACCTTGAAAAACACTTCATCGAAAGAAGTGAAATTTCAGAGCCGGCATCTAAAAGTGCTCGATATGTTCTAAAAACACCTTTATTATCTTTTATTTCGATAAATGCTGTACACAATAAAACCTGCGAGCGATTTTGGGTCAAAGTACAAATTTGTGCCGAATTCGAAGTACTAGTTTCCAGCTGGAATGGGTCCGAGCGCGAGGCTAGTTTCGTATCAGCACTGCCAGCGGCGTCGGTAGGGGTATTTTGACGATTAAAATGTAAAGTGGTATGGTGTGTTTTGCTATTACATTTGCGACATACCGAAGTAGATTTACATGTTTTTAAATCGTGATAGCTACTTAGACATCCAAAACAAAGATGATGTTTTTTACAAAAGGAATGGCGATCTCCAGGAGATTTATTTAAATAAGTTGAACAATGATATAAAGGATGATTATCGGAACATAAAATGCATGTATTTTGCGTGCGAGCGAAAAAGCTATTTTTAGAGCGCGGAATATAAGATGGCGAAGGTTTCTTATAAACATTTTTAGCAGGCGGACGTACTTTTTCCAACCCATTACAATGATCTTCCAAAAAATTAAACAGCGTGTGATATTCAGGAATCGAGGTAGATCCGTGATCTCTTTCAAAAGCGCGAGCGGTTTCCTGATCTAAACGAGTAATTAACATATGCGATAAAATAAAATCCCAATCTGTGTTTATTCCCATATTTTTTAAACTTTCCAAATTAATAGAGAACGTATCCAACAATCTTCGAAGCTCAACGGGATCCTCGAATTTCATAGGATGGAAATTTTCAATTTACCACCAATAAGATTTTGCTTGAGCTCTCGGATTGGTGTAGCGTTTGACTAAAGAGTCATAAGCGGTTTGATAATTTTCAGCAGTAGCCGTTAAGCGTTTAATCAAGTCCAAAGGCGTACCTTCCAATGAAGATTTTAAATAGTTAAACTTTTCGACCGGTTTTAAAGAATTATTTGTATGCACTACCGCATCGAACATATCTTTGAAACTTTGAAAATCACGAACATCGCCCGAAAATTTGTTTATTTCAATTTTGGGAAGTTTAACATGCGAGGTATTCGGTGAAATCGTACCAGATTGATTCGATAACCGGGTAGAAGCGTTTAAATCCGCTTCGAATAAATCGGTGTAAACCGCTTTTATTTCATAATAAAGATCATTAAAAGCAGTTTTCTCGGCATCTTCATCAGCTAAATTTTTTTCTTGGTCGGCGGAATACAGAGTTAAAATTGTTGAATGATATTTATTAAACTCCACGTTAATAAAGTCAACCGCGTTATAACGAACTTTAAAAAATATGCGTTTAGTTTTATCCGTTTTGGCAGAAACGGCCAACTTATGAATAATATTGATTTCATTCAAGCAACTTTGACGTAATGCAATATAACGACGTAATTTGTCCGCCATTTTAAATCACATAGGTACAATAAAAATTGCGAAATTCGAGTAAATTCAATTAATCGGTAAAATTTTTTAATTAAGCGAACGAAACGAAAGAAATGTGATAAATATACCTTTGGTCAGACGGACATGCGTAAAAGAGTCAATAGATCAATTTGCGTACCAGGGAACGTGTTTCGTGTACTGGTCGGAACAATTCAAAATTGCTAAATAAATTGCCGGCTCCTCCAAAAAACATTAAATTAAAAATTAAGACAAATGATTTGTAATTTTGCGTAAAATTAAGCCAATTTAATTTCCCACTATTCAACTTTAGACGAAAATCAATGATTTAACTCAAAATTCCCAATTTTAAGCAGAAAATTAAATAAAAAATAGATTTCACAAAATTAATTTTCTAAAACTCTACCAAAAGCGACAAAAAATTCAAATCTGCGATCGAAGGACCATGTGATTTTTCCCTTAGATAAAGCTCAGTTTCTGGATTACAAGAGAACCTTAATTCCTTTTAGGCGGTAGTTTAAATAATTAAATTTAAATAACAAAAAAAAATCTAAAGAAGCCAATATTTTAAGGAGACTCACCTAGTGGTATGTCTGCATTCTGGAATTCTTGAAGGGGGCCCCACACGTTTTCTTCTTGGGAAAACAGAACACCGACGAACAAAATAACAAAAATTTTGATTTTTCAATGTGAACACTTCAGGGGGTCAATTCTCGACTTGTAGGAATTCGATTCCGAGGAAAATGAATTCCTATGATAATATTCCTACAGTTTTAGTTGTCGGTATTCTCGAGTACAATAGGAATCCAATTTCCTGTAGGAGTTCCAATTTCAGTATGTCGTTGATAATTTCAAGATAACGCAAAAACGAGCCAATGGAATGTATTTATTTCAGTTAAATATAGTTGTTTAACAGTTGGCAACAAGGCAATTTGACAATTTGTCAAAAATATTTGATTTGCTGGGATGTACTGGTTATTTATTTTTAATATTTATTAGCAGCAAAAAGAAATAACGAAAAAGTGTCAGAAGGACTACCCTACCATTGTGATTACCGTGATTTATAAGTAGAAACTAAAGAAAGTAAGTAGTACAAATGTTTTCCTTCACCAAAAGGTCAATGCATATCTTGTATCCTCTAATTTCTGATTTGAAATACAAAAATATAGGAATACTTTCAATATTTAGCAAATTATAGTAAAATTCACATCATACATCATTATAACTTGGTTTGGGCTCCGTCGAGGAATCCTGATGTGCGAATTTCGCAAAAAAACACTCAAAAGTAACTAGTTTCTTTGGTAAATTTTCATAAAAAAAATATGGATTTTGGTTTACTTTATTTATTGACTTTATTGACATTTCTAATAGGATAATTTTACTCGTAAAATTAAATGTAACTTTTAATAATATGTATGTTTTATTTTTAGATGAGTTTGGAATCGCCTAAAAGTAAACATATGACTGAAAATAAAAAAAAAACTCTGATTGAACTGCTACAAAATGACGAGCAGTTGCGAAATGGCAAATTCACGAACAATTTTACCTTTGCGGAATCGAGAAAAAGATGGATTCACATTAGTGACACTTTAAACAGCATACCAGGTGCAAGAAAAGACTGGTTATACTGGAAACGAGTAAGTTTAAAAAGTACATTTTGGTTAAATAAATGTTTTTATGTCTATATATTAAAAACGATTAGAGTGTATACTCCTACAATTTCATTTTTTAAAGTGTAATGCATTTACATAAGTATTTATCTATTCTTTTTGCAGGATTACTAACCAATATTTTTCTTTATATCGATGGTCTAATACCTGCAAAACATTCAAATTTTATTTTCGTTTGTACAATTACTCTTATCATAAGCACATACCTTTTTTTCATGAGTTGAAATATACCGTAGTGGCTTTGTAAATTATTGACGTGAGAAATTTGACAATCTAATAACCCGTATTGCAATCAGATTTAGCACTAATAAACTAAAAAAAGCTTCTGTAAAATACTAAGCCATACCGTTACAAGGTATTAGATTTAGACCATCGATATGTAAAGTTTCAAAAACAATGCTTGCAATATATAATGATAATGTGGGAATAATATAGCAGGGTAAAACAAGTAAAAATAATTTATCAGCCTGTAAATTGTATAGAATAGTTAAAAACGTTTTAAATTGTTTTTATTTTGTAAATATTTTAGAACTGCTACAAAATTGTTTTCAAATAGTGTAAGAAATATAATAGTCTAGTTAACTTGTTTGTTTAATTCTAGACTTGGCAAGATTTGAAAAAAAATGTGAAAAAAAAATCCAGCGATTTAAAAAAATATACCATGGGTACTGGTGGCGGGCCTCCTCCTAAGGATTTGAATACAAATGATGAAAATGTCCTTCAATTGATCGATTTAAATTCATTGGAGGGTAGCTCTTTAATAGAAGAGTCAGTTGTGTGGGTAAGTACATGTACACTTAATATTCTGTCAATAATTTAAATTTATTTTATATACTTAAATATTGTTTAATGGTTTATTTATTGATCCATTCAGTTTCATACAAAAATTAATATTATGAAGGGGCATTTCATGTAATAATTCCTTCTTAAGCAAAAGTACTAGTAGGTTACACTAAATTTTAATCAAGGGTAATTATTTATATAATTCTTAACCCTTTCAGGACAGATAGCGACTGAAGTTGCATACATTTTTCTTACCTGTCAACCAGGAAACGACTCGAGTTGAAAGCTTGGAATAGTAATGTGGTATTAATATGACCAACACCTAAACTACACCTCCAAGCTTTCAACTTGAGTCGTTTCCTGGTTGACTGGTAAGAAAAATTTATGCAACTCAGTCATTTATGCGCCCTGAAAAGGTTAATATGATTTCAAGATAATTTTAATTAAATTTGAATGCATTTTACAGTAAATTGCCAATATTTAATTTCCATCAGGTTAATTATCTTTGTACCATTAAGTAATGAATAAATAAAAAAAGGATCAGTAATTTTCTATTTTTATGAAGAACATGAATACCTATACTGATGGTTTATATTTTTAGGATGAACATGACTATATCAATTTGAATAACCCTGCTACAAGTAGTAGTGTCAGTATCATGGATACATTTAAACAAAGCAAAAACCTGAATACTGAGACTACGAAGAAAAGGAAGGCTCCATCAAAATTTGATGAAGCACTGCAAAACAGCAATCGCATCTCAGATATATTAGAAAATAAAAACAAAAAAAAAGACGACTATTATGAAAGAAAACTTCATTTAATGGAGAGAGATGTGATTGCTAAGGAGAGAATTGCTGCGGCTTTAGAGAAGTTATCTAATCCTTAGTTTGTTTCTTTATTCATATAATGTGTGATATTAATATTTAGTTTTAAAAACTGTGATTTTGTTAGGTTTATTTGTTAGGTTTTTATTATTTTAATTTGGCATCAAAAATTGCAGGAAGAGGACAATAAAACAGCTTTTTTAAATTGCTGGCGTTTCGAAGATTTATTTACCTTCCAAATATGGCAGTTATTTATACAAAATATTACATATTGGGTTAAAAGATGTTTGTATCCTTAGACAAACATCTTTTAACCTGATTCTCTCCACTTTACAGTTTTTTTGCTGTGATGTCTTTTATTTTAATAATTGACATTAATCTTCAAAACTTCTGCAATTTATAAAAGCCCCCATGTTTTATTACCCTCGTTCCATAATTTTTATTGCCAATATATCATGTAGGATGTTATTTTGTTTTTTATTTGGTTTTTTTAGATGAGTTCTGTTTTTTTGTTTGATTTAATAAAATATCAAGAAAATAATGTTTCTCGTATTTCCAATAAAACCCTTAATTAATTAATAAACATTATATTTGTTTATAATGTATTTATTTGTTACACCACCCAACAGTAATCACCATTTACTGGGTGGAAAAGACGAAACAGAATAATAATACAAAATTGTTAAAAAGCCTCATAGTCATTTATTAAAATATATATTAAAAATAATTTCTGATTATATTATTTTGTAAATGCTCCCCTGCTTCCAAATCTGGGTCCCTTCTATTTCTCCCTACAATATTTTGGTTGAGGTCAGGTTCGTCATAAATTCCAAAATCAGCTTGCATATCACCCTCTTCAGGTTCAGGCACAGGTACATTATTTAATATGCACATGTTGTGCAATACGCAGCAAGCATTTATTATTCGACCAGCCACAGGAGGTGCATAATGCAAGACTCTATGCTTTAATAAGCATCTAAACCTTGCTTTAAGAAGGCCATTGCACCTTTCAATGAGACACCTTGCCTTTTTAAAAGCCTCATTGTACAATGCTTCTGGAGATTCAGGTACTGGTGCTGGAACAGGCACTTGTATCCATTTTCTTAATGGGTAACCAGAATCTCCTAAAAATAAAACACTTGACATTTAGATTAATAAAATTGGGTATGGAGGAAGCAGTTCATAATTTATTTAAATTATCCCCTTTTTTTAATTTAATTGTATATCGTCGTTGCCACGGTGAAACCAATGTACATTTTAACAAAATTTTCAGTACACGAAACAATTTTGTTCTGGTTTCTTATACGTATTACGCACAAAGGAGGTTTCATTTTTGATTTAAAATCACAATATTTTAAAAGAAAATTATGTGGGAGGTTTCGCTAAACAGTAGAGAATGTTATTTTTTATAAAATAGCACAAAAATCTAATGTGATAAAATGTAACATAGGAGGTTTCACCACAGCAATGATGATATGTTTGAACAATATTATGGAACTTACCAATGACATAATAGTTAAAATTATTATTTCTAGATGCATTTTCTAATGCTGTACATATATTAGAATTTCGCCAAATGTGACTGTCATGTGTGCTTCCAGGAAATCTAGCATTTACATTTAAAATGCAAAGATCTATGTCACATATCTAAAAATTATTATTAAAGGTTGATTTACTAATTTTATATCAATATCTGGTTAATGTCCAATTTGAAAACATTAAAATTATTAAATAATAGGGCTATGTATATTTACCAACTGGGCATTTAGTGAGTGGTATCTTTTGCGGTTAACATAAACATGTTCATTTGGGGGAGGAAAAATTGCAACATGGGTACAGTCCACTACCCCAATGATTCCAGGAATGCCATATTTTTGATAGAATCTTAAAATAATTACATAAAACATTGAATCTACCTATAATGTACTGAATTCATACCTTGTTCTCATGTTATCTAGATTATTAGGATCCATTGAAAATTTCACCCAATTATTAAAAACCCTAGGGTTATTTAGCGCCCTGACAACCTCGTTAATTGATCTTGACACTGTGCTTTGGCTGACTGTTACAAATTTATTTAATGAAACATCAGTTTGGTAGCTACCACTGGCAAAAAACTTCAGTGCAGTGAGAACCTTAAAACAAATATATTATATGGGTATAAATATACAAATACTTTTATAAATTTCACTGCGAGTGTGAACCTACTTTAAATTCCGGAGTAATAGATGATCGTCGTGATGGTTGTATTAAAAACGGATTTATTTCTTGAATCAACTCTTCTGTGACACGTTTTGATAATCTGAATAATTTTACAAATTGTTGGTCATTCAGACATTCAAAGGGATTAGTATCATCTCTTCTCCATTTCGACCAAAACTGTCTCGGGACGTTTGCCGCCGCTACGACATTGTCTATTTGCTGTTGTAAAATAACGGCATCCATACTTATTTAATTAATAACTATAATAAAAACTAAACTATAATAATAACTAAACTATAATAATAACAAATATAAACACAAAAAAACTAAATACTGCAAAAGTTAATATTTTCTAGATTCTTCATACAACAATCACTTTCAAATTTGTTATAAATATCATTAAACCATGGAGGAAGGATGAAGGATCATTAAACAAGCTACTATTGCGCAAGCGCGATTACAAAATCTTGTAGGAAAATTAAATTCCCTGTCTCATGAGCATGGGAATTCATTTCCTATAACTGCTTAGGAAAATATTCCTACAACTTGACTCCAGAATACGTAACCTACTTTCCTATAGGAAAAGGTACCAAATTCCTATAGGAAAAAAGTCGAGAATCGACCCCCAGAGGTTCATACGGTACTCGACTATTAAAAATCCAAAAATGTCCTTTATAAACGCACAGATGTGCGCCGACGCGAGTGATTCCCAATATATTGGCAAGAAATAAATTAAACTATTTTGATAAAAATATTAAGGGTCACTAGCATCCAATTAATTATGAGAAATATCAACATAAAATAATTATTCTAAATTAAGGAAAAACGCGTAAATACCTAACATACAGACACACATACATAATCGCGAAAATAGTCAAAACGACTTCAGGTAACCCCAAACCGTAAAAATCCGTCGAAAACTGGAAAAAATCATGATTCCTATACTTTCGTTATCTGTATATAGACAGGAAAGTAAAAAAGTATTGTCATTAAATTAATTCCTTTTTAAATAAAATACATTTTAATTAAAACGTGTATGGCCCCCTATAAAATATAATTAATTTTATTATGCATTAAAAAAAAATCAGGCGAAATGAAAACAATTCTAGACCTCCTTAGAAATATTTTCTATACAAGTAGATCAGAAATTTGATGATCTATTCTAAAAATGGCATTTTAAAATTAATATTAATTGATGGCAAACTTTCGATAAACTTAAATTAATTTTACACAAGATGGCTAAGATAGCCAAGTCAATGCACCTACTTCGGACAATGGCGAATAGGTGAAATGTCAACTGACTGCACGCGATTTTTAACGATTGCTAGTGATTGCTCAGCGACTGCGAGAGATTTCGGGGAGACTGCGAGGGAATTGTGAACGACTGCGTCGATTTCTTAGCGATTGCCACTGATTTTGATGGGACTGCGGCGATTTTCAATGGGATTGCGGACATTTTGTACATGTATTGCGGGAGTGATTCGCCCCTCGGTTGATTTTCAAATGGATTTGGTTCCCTTCCTCAGTTATAATTTGACAACTTATGGGAATTAATGTTGGGAAGGTTCCAAATAGCTTAATTATTTCTTCTTGTGAATTACATTTAAGGGTTAGTGTAATTTCTTTGGGTAGGACCAAAATCCATTGATTTGTTTGTTCTAACCTTGTAATAGAAGGGAGTGATACAGCTATGGATACTTGTGGGCATGTGAAGGTGGTTTCGTAGTTTAGAAGTTGGATCTCGCAGGAGCTCTTCTGGTTGACTTTTCTGGGCCTGGTTGGGTCACAAATGTAATTTTGGCTGGACAACTTAGTGCAGGAGTTGCTCGAATAAGCATAGTACAATTTATTTCGTACATCATTATTATTTTCAAGGTTAATTGTCTTAAACTGACCTTTTTTCAAAATAGGTATAGGATATTAATTATATAGGGTTAAATCTACAGGTATAGTCGAGGGTATAGTTATTAGAATATGCAATATATACGTTATTCTATTATTATAAAGAAAGCAAGATATTTTTATAATCTTTTGCGGAAAAAATGCATTATTTAAGCTTAAACTAACTGGTATTTCTTTTTTTAATATAAACTTTAAATATAATTTCCAAAATTCTGAATAAATCTTTGATTGTAATTATGCTCGGATGTAATACTTCAAGTTGTGCAAATGATATTGAATTTTCAATATCTTGCATTATTTAATTTAACAACTCATACATATTAAAAATTTGGATAATTGTATCTTTTGTATAAATACTATTTTCCCATTTAAAATTTAGTTATCTAAAGAATAAAGTCTTTTCAGTGGGCACATGTATTTTGCCATCCTTTGAAGTGGTTGCAGTTTTTCGTTTTTTATTAACTGATTTAATAGTAATGATTTCTGAAATTTATTAGCACTTTTCTATCTTTTTGTATTTTTAATATACGCAGTGGGGCAATGTTAAAATATTTTGGGGTCTTTACGACATAATCTTTTTTATTTTCTCATAAGTGTTCATTTATTTTAGTGTACAATATATTTGTCTGTCTTTTATGTTGATTTACATAATCATTTAAAAGTAATCTGTCCAGGTCTATATTAAAGGGTTCATTGGCCCTAATATTATGTCAATAGGTTTTAATTTCATTGCAGAATGAATGGTATTATTATATGCTAGAATTGCATAGATTATTTTATTTTTAATTGGAGTATCTGAAAAACCTTGAGTATTTAGTAAGTGTAAATGCTCATTTATCATAGAATGGAATCTTTCTATTATTTCGTTAGATTAAGGAAGATCTGGGGAACAAAAGTTTTTTTTTATTTTAACTGAGTTTTTGAACTCTGTAAAAGCACCAGTAATTGACACTATAAGGATGATAATTTAGATTTTTTTAAAGTTTTTTTTACAAAATGAATAAAACTGAATACCAGAACACAATGGTGTACTTCTAGAACAAACAAGTATATTTATGTCATTATATCATCTCAAAGCATTAGTAATTGACATATAAAAAAATTAATTCACTAGTAGTTTATACAACCTGGCTCTAGTACTTGACACAAAATAAAACTTAGAAGAAATATAATACCTACTAAAACATATTATTTAGTGAAAAATAGGACTATAACAAATCAACCATCTACATCTAGAGATGTATTAAATTCATATTTTATTCTTTCTTCACGCAGTAACATCTTTGGTGTTGGTATTACCGCATGTACTTGAGAAAGCTTAATTGTGCTGACATCAGTTTCATTCAGTTTATATTGAGTTTTGGCGTCATTACAACATTTAAGACCAACAACTTCCACTTCACTATCTGAAAGTATCTTTTGTACTATACAGACATATTTATGTTGTTTCTTTTTCCCTGGGAATACCACCCTTCTTGAACATTTGTAAAAACAGAAGTCGATAAGTTAAGATGTTCATAATCTGAAGATAGACATTCTGAACTTAGATCATCAAGACTATCACCTGAGACTACCCATTCATCTTCCTCGCTTGCAGTATTTGTTAAAGTAAATTTAATTGCTACAGGTGAACACGACATAAAAATAACAACTAAACGTCGACATTTTATAGTGGAAAACCAAAAATTTAAATAATAAATTTAGTATCAAATGAAAGGCAAAAAAGTCTTCTACATAAAGAAAGTGAAGTGCTGCAACGAAAACAGAAATATATTTAATAAGAGTGCATTTTAATAAGTGTTTTATTCAAAACAAATCAATCAAGACAGTTTTTTGTTCCTTTTTTTTTGTCACCAATGGCAAAAAAAAACAGAAATCAATCAGCCTTACTAATGGAATTTTAAGGCAGTGTCTACTAAGTCTACACAAGGTATTTTATTTATTAATTTACAATGGGTTGCTATAAATGCCAGGTGGCGGAATCCAAAGATGAACAACTGCTAACTTGTGACAAATGTTCCAGTAAGATTTGTCAAACTTGCGCGAAGATTTCCACCACTGAATACAGAGCAGCAGTACTCAAATCTACAAGATGTTTAATATATTTATGCCCAAATTGTAAACCTACCACAAACTTCCTACAACAAAACAATGAAAACAAAATAGAAAATGAATTAAAATTATTACGAATCGAAATATCCTCACTTAAAAATAAATTAACCCAACTAAAACCTAATGAAAATGAAATAATTAAAAAATATTCTTAAAACGGAATTAGATAGATTTAAAGAGGAAATGCAAAATGAGTTTAAAGTAACCAAACAAGAAATTATAAATGTAACGGAAACAACAAATAAGGACATGATAGCAATGTTAAGCAATGTCCCAGAAAGACTTAATCATACAACTTCTGGAAGACTATCTAACAAAATAGTCAAAATGGTGCCACAGAATAAAACAGATCCTTTACCAATGCCTAATGGAAATGTACATCCTCCAGAACAACACAATCCTAGAATTCCATCCCAGCAGACATATCCGCAAAAAGCACACTACACACCACACCATGACGAAATTTCGGAACAACACCTACTCTCAACGAAGGTCTCACAAATTCCAAGTTCCGTGAATAATTCTAGGAAAAGCTTATCAGAACTAAGTACTGGAGAATTTGTAGAAGTAAAAAGTAATCGAAGACAAAAACGAGCAAATAAAATTGGAACCAACCAATCACAGGATGACAACAATCAAAATGCCTTCGAAGGCGCAAAAAGTGCGGATAACAATAGAAAACTATGGGTCTTCATTTCTCGTGTAAAAAACCAAGTGACTGAAGATCAGATTAAAAATTATATTTCCAACAAAGCCAAAAATGACCAATCCGAAATTTCTGTTAAAGCTCTAAAAACCTATTACCAGAATAAAAATAATAAATGTTTCTTAGTTGGAACTGACTTATCCCTAAAAAATGTTATTTATGAACAGAATTTTTGGCCGGCGGGAGTAGCGTTTGAGAGGTTTAATTTTAAAAAGGGACAACATTTTTTAGATAACAATCGTGAAAATAAAAATGAAGGTTTAAATAGTTCATTTAACTCAATAAATTCGGATTTTCGACACCACTAACTGAAGATACCAAAAAAGTACCTTTGACAATACAACTCGCCTCTACTAATGTTTCTATATTTTACCAAAATGTGAGAGGACTTAGAACTAAAATTAAAGACTATGAAAGCGTATTTGCTAGCAATTATGATGTTATTTGCGTTACGGAATCGTGGTTAAATATATCTGTGTACGTTCAGGAACTATGTGATAATAGATATGTTATATTCAGAAATGAAAAGGACTATGAAAATTGTATCGAAAATAGGGGAGGGGGCGTCATGTGTTGTATCCAAAAAAAATGTAAGCCTACTTTACTGCATAAAAATAGTGATACTGATTTCCAGTGGATCTTAATAAGATTAAATATAAAAAATATTAGAATAATGATTTGTACTGTATATATTAGGTCAGGTTCACAGGTTTCAACTTATGATGACTTTCTAGAATCGTTAGAACTTGTTGATGAACATTTAAATGAACATATTTTCATAATAGGTGATTTTAATATAGCTGAAATTGATGGAACAGCTTTTCCATTCTCAAAAGGGTCTCAAAAAAATTCAAACTATACATAAAATAATGTCCAAATATGATGCTTATTCATTAAATAATGTACTAAATAAAAACGATAATACACTAGACCTAGTTTTTAGCAATCTAACACAATCGGTAGTAACCGCTTCCTCTGACTCTTTAGTTAATATTGATATGTACCATCCCCCAATTCAAATAAATTTCCACGTGGAAAGCAATCTCAGTTTATCTGATTACCATCGGAAAATTCATAATTATAACTATAAAAAACATATTACGTTAAACTAATGTAGATGGGAAACATTAATAAAATCAGACGACCCGAATGAATGTGTAGATCTATTTTATCAAGTACTATACAATATATTAAACCAATGCATTCCCCAAGAAAGATATTATGCTAGGGGTAAATATCCAGTTTGGTATTCCAAAGAATTGATTCACAAATTAAAATTAAAATCACATTATAATAAAAAATCAAAAAATAATTCAGATTATTCAGAACGCTTTAAGGAATTAAGGAAGCAAGTCAAAACTCTGATAAGAGCATGTCACAAAAATTACTTAGATAACAGAGAAAGAATTAACAGATAACCCCCAAAATTTTTGGAACTATATTAAAAGTAAAAGGTCAAATAGTAAGTCCAATATAGCATATAGGTATTCATATAATGGAGAACACTTCTCAAACAATGAAGACATTGCAAAAGCGTTTGCCGATTTTTTTGAATCTGTGTATTCGAACAGCTCAGCAATCCCAGATCAGGTAAAATACAAAAATTATAATTTAAATATATTGCATCTAGGGAAAATTTCCACAGAAGAAATTTTGAATGTCATCAAGTCATTGAAGCCTAACGCTGCAATGGGTATTGATAATATACCTGCGTATTTTCTCAAGGCTTACGCAGAGATACTATCGATTCCTCTAAAACAAATTTTTACATTATTAGTGCAAAAAAACATCTTTCCTGATAAATTTAAAACTGGTCGCATAACACCTATACATAAATCGGGAAATACGAGCCAAATAGAGAACTTCCGTCCTATCACAATTCTTTCCTCTATACAATATATACTGATCTAGCAAAAGCATTTGATAGAGTAAATCATCATGTTCTGATAAACAAATTACAAAACATATTCAGCAACGATCTAACTTGGTTAATAAAGTCGTATCTAACTAATCGTCAACACTTTGTTAGATTCAGTGACAGTAATTCAAAACTCGTCATAGCGAATTCTGGTGTACCACAAGGGTCGATTCTGGGACCACTTCTATTTGTCATTTTTATCAATGTTATAAGTGATTATATTAAACATTCTAAATTCCTATTATATGCATATGATCTGAAGCTGTTTAGACAAATGTCCTCTGCAGCTGATGCTGAGTTACTGCAAGGGGATATCACAGCAATATCCAAATACCGTCATATCAACGATCTCTCATTCAATATACCTAAATGCAATATAATCACTTACACCAGGAAGAAGAACCCCATCATAACAGATTATAAAATTAACAATACCTTAATAAAGAGAACAAACGAAAGCAAAGATTTAGGGGTGGTTTATTCTTCAAATTTTAATAAACATATAACAATATTAACAACAGACTGCTATAGAAGACTCGCATTTATTCTCAGGGCTTGCCATGATTTCTCTACCGAAACATGCAAAGTTCTATATAATGCATTCGTACGATCTAAAATAGAATATGCCTGTATAATTTGGTCACCCAAAACAATCTTTTATAATGATACCTTGGAAAAAGTGCAGAAGCGTTTTGTCAGATCTCTACACATGAAAAAATATGGAGACTACCCCTTACGTATCTCTTATCAGAGCCAGTTAATAGATTTTAATATTGAAACACTATTTAGCAGAAGGAACAAAGCCCAATTAACATTTATAACAAATATTATATATGAAAATTTTAATTTACCCGAATTACTAGCCTCCATCAATTTCAGCGTACCAGATATTCGCCTTAGGCAAAGATACACATTATTTTCCAACAATAATTTATTCTCACCTATTGATAATTCTCTTCAAACACTAGATCAGTTCATGATTAGCAGTAACACTGACCTTTTTAATATGTCTTTCAACAAATTGAAATTAATATTCGATAAACATACATTTTCACAAAAACTATTATAACTTATATAACTCTTAATATTACACATATTATATTTTTATTAATTGTATACCATTGTTAAATTTATTTTTAGTTTTAGTAATTATTGTAAGTGCTACCAAACTTTATAACATGTAAATAGATTGCATTCTGTTTGTTTTGCAGTAAAAAAAACTTTACTTTTCTTTTATTTGCGTTTTTTTTATCTTAGACAAGTTGCTTTGACATTTTTGCTTCTTTTCTGTTATTATATGTTCCCTCAATTTTTTTTTTTTGTCTTTCTTGTGCTCTTCCAGCTATTTCTTAACGTTTTCCTTCTTTTCATAATATAATTGCCTCTTATTAGAAGTAACCACACACGGTATGTGTTCTTTCCTTCTTTGGGTTTGGTTTTTATTTCACCTGGCCATCTAAGGACACCTTTAAAACGTGATGGTACTAGTGGATCTAGATTTTCGTCTTTATTATTTGGTTCAGGTTGTTGCTGTTCCTCGTTCAATTCCGATGTTGAAGGATTTTCATTACTTGAAATAGGTATTGTTGGTCTTATTTTTTTTTCTTGTCTGTTGATCTTCTTCGTTTTTTCTTGGCTGTTGATTTTTTTATCTTGAAGTTCTTTTAGGACCGATTCCACCGTTGTGTTAAACGAAGTTTAAAATGACATTTTTACATTAACAATGTCATTTTAATCTCCGTTTAACACAACGGTGGAATCAACCCTTAAACTATTTTGTAAGTTGTCTTGGTTTAGTCATTCATGTCTATAAAATTTAAAAAGCGATTCATCTTTTATATCCCCTGTCCAGGTGTCCGAATCTGCTGTTCTAAATAATATTATTTTTTCTTTTTTAATATATTTTACAATTAAATGTAACCCATTATGTAATTCTCTTGACTGATTTTTAGTTGTTCTTATTTTATTGTTTAAATCTTGCCTATTTTTTATTAAACCTAACATACCTTACCACTCCGGGGCAGATCGAGATTATCGGCCTTGAGTGTCACAATACGCCTTTGGGACTACTCTTTTTTAATAAATTTATAATAAGTATGTCTATATTTTTCTTGCAGGACTGCTTGCTTTACAACATTCTCATTGTTCCAACCTTTTTAGTTTTAATAATACAGTGTGAACAACGTACTTAATAAAAGTAGGTAATTGTTAAATTATATTTTTTTATTTGCAGATTTCCGTTCTTCTAAATCAAGATCGAAACATATCGACGGACATTTTGGAAAAGCCTACATGGTTTGTCAATTTTGCGGAAGATTCATGACAAAAATGATTTTTTTTCGGCACCATTTTATTCATGTAGTAAAAAATAGACCAAGAAAAGTTTTTCTGGAAATCAACGACGTTTCTAGTCTACAAGCACATTCAATAATTCATAGTAATAAAAAACAATTTAAATGTGATATTTGTTCCAAAGTATTTAGTCAAAAAACTAGCTTAAAATTACATTTAATAATTCATACTAATGAAAAACCATATAAATGTGACATTTGTTTCAAAGAATTTAATCTAAAATGTAACTTACAACAACATTTAATAATTCACAGTAATGAAAAACCATTTAAATGTGATATTTGTTCTAAAGGATTTAGTCGAAAAATTAGCTTACGGTCACATTCAATAATTCATACTAATGAAAAGCCATTTAAATGTGATATTTGTTTCAAAGAATTTAATGACAAATCTAACCTACAAAGACATTTAATAATTCACAGTAATGAAAAACCATTTAAATGTGATATTTGTTCTAAAGGATTTAGTCGAAAAACTAGCTTACAGTCACATTTATTAAATCATACTAATGAAAAACCATTTAAATGTGATATTTGTTTCAAAGAATTTAATCTAAAAGGTAACTTACGACAACATTTAATAATTCACAGTAATAAAAAACCATTTAAATGTGACATTTGTTCTAAAGGATTTAGTCAAAAAAATAGCTTACGTTTACATTTAATAATTCATATTAAAGAAAAACCATGTAAATGTAACATTTGTTTTAAAGAATTTAATGACAAATCTAACTTACAGAGACATTTAATAATTCACAGTAATGAAAAACAATTTAAATGTGTAATTTGTTCCAAAGAATTTAACATAAAATTTAACTTCCAACGACATTTAATAATTCACGGTAATGAAAAACCATTTAAATGTGACATTTGTTCCAAAGGATTTAATCGCAAATTTAATTTACTGAAACATTTAATAATTCATACTAATGAAAAACCATTTAAATGTGAGATTTGTTCCAAAGAATTTAATCTAAAATGTAACTTAC